ACTCATAGCTAACTTTAAAAGTATATATGAGGTCCTAATAAGTGATGTGACCCTAACTTCTTGCGCGTAAACCAATTGATACTAATATATGAATGAGTGGTGAGGAAGTGGGTGTCAATTGTTACGGAACTTCTAGTGAACAGAACTCATGTCTTCTAATCACTTCTTAAGCAAGTGATGGTCGGTAATGAGTGCTAAGAGACACATGACTAGAATCGGTGTGAATGACACCACTCATAGCGGTAGTAGTGAGGGGTGACAGGAGTGACCACTTGTAGAAAGTGTCAAAACTTTGTGAGTGCTGTTAAATGCGAGCTATGAATGCATTGAATCATTGATTGATTGTTGAATGACTGCATGAATGGTGAACTCGAGCCCAGTGTTCAGGTGTACAGTAGTATGAATAGTGTAGTACTGTAGTAGTGGTATACTGTACTGTATTAGTGCTGTTTGGCAATGCATGTACAGCACAGTGAGTGCAGTAATAGTGTCGACGAGTGTAATGCTTATGCATTGGTATATGCATTGGTGTATGCATTGGTGTAATGCTGGTTATGCATGTAATGGTGTAATACCTGTTAGTGTGTTGGCACTGGCAGTGGTTGTGTGGCAGTGCACTGTTGGGCAGTAGTGGTAGGGCTGGCAGTAGTGTATGTTTGGTGTAGTTGTGTTCATTGGCATCACTGTCAGTATTGTTCATACTGCTTGTGTCCACGTTTGCCATTAATTGTCGACTCTGTGTAGCGTTCATCTCATCCTCTTTCATGTCTTTGATGTCCTGTTGATGTATGAAACACTATCTGTACTCTAACTGTGTGATCACTGTACTCGTCGTCCATGTATGGTATGTGTGACTGTCTGTCAGGTGTGTTCGGTCTGTCCCATCCATTCTGAAGACCATAGTTGACATCCAGATTGTGCGAGCGTCTGAACACGAGGCATGTCTTAGTAACCATCCATTGACTCACGAGTCGATTCAATGCCAAACAAATGAATGCAAAGTCATTGCAATCGATATAACAGTAAAGTAGAGAATAAGCGCAACAAGTATTGCATGTATTGATAGCCAACTGAGAG